GGACCGCGGGGATCAGTCAGGGACAGTCTGGGATCAGCCCGGGACAGCCAGGGATCAGCCCGGGACAGCCGGGACCACCGGGGACAGCCGGGACCAGCCCGGGATCATTCCGGGACCATCCCGGGATCCTGCCGGACCGCGGGATTGGAGACCCCCGGGAGCCTCCGGGACCCCGCGGGGTGTGGGGGCCGGAGCCCCCCTGGATTCCCCAGGACCCTCGGGGTGCGTGGGGTCGGAGCCTCCCGAGAATTCCCCCCGGAGAATGCCCGGGGGAGCCGATCCCCTCTCCTGACTGCAGCCAGGCCAAGCCCGGTGTTCTCTCCCGGTGCCGCTGCTCGGCCCGGTGTTTGGGGTTATTTTTTGGGGTTATTGACTCAGCCCTGCCTGTCCTCACCCACCCGCGGCTCGGAGGAATAGCCGAAATTATCCATCAGCCCACACCGTGGTAAATCACTGCAAAATCATTCTCAAACACATTAAAAACCAATTTATACCATCTCAATCGATACCATCTCTGAGCGCCTTTATGTGGGCAAGAAAACAGAGTAGAAAAGGGCATTTACTCATTGTGAATCATCCGGAGTTTCTAGAGCAATAAAATAAGGAAATCTCACACTTTGCTAAATTTGGGGTTTTGTGGACAATTCAGGAAAGTAGTGTTTGGCACTAGCTTGTACTCAGGACAAGATGTTAGCTGTCAACTACTGGGATCAAGCCTCAGGCATCTAAATTAGCTGTGAAAGTCTTCAGACCTTGCTAAAAAATAATCTCAATAAGTGGGATAAAGCATAGGTGGACATTATTGTCAAAAGGACCTTTTAGAGCACAAAGCTGACAGAATTTGGATCTGTAAATGCATTTATGCTGTACTTAGAATCGAGGTTTTATAGGTTTGGAGAAGTGAGCTGATACCTTTCAAAAGTCAGTTTTAAAGGGAAATACACGGAGGAGGTATCAATTTAAATATGATAATTGTATAGCTCAGAGCACTGACAGCATTGAAGTTACTGGAGAATAGTGCCCTGTAATCTCTCAAATGGTGTTTTTCCCCTTTCAGACTGTGCCTTTAATGTTCTATTACTTTTGTCTGGTGCAGATGGTGTGATTTTATAACTGATTGCCTGATTTTGTAACTGATTGCCTGATCCGGGTTTCTGTTAGTCCTGCAGATCCACGGATTGGGGAAGAGCTAATAGGCCACACTCCTGTGAGCTTCAGGAGGACGTGCTTCTCATCAGAAGCACCTGATACCTGTGAAAACCTTTGAAGCTCTGAGAAGTAAATTTAATTTTTAAATGCTCTGCTGGAAGGTGCTGATTTACAGCCCTGGAGATGGAAAATCTCTGGGTGTCCAGGCAGCAGCTCCAGCACGAGCAGCAGCACTTTAAACCTTGTCCCCTGCCTGATCAAACCCCTGAAATGATTAAATCACTTCTCAGATCCACAACTGCCAATTCAGGGGTGTATTCTTGATCATTAACGTGGTGAAACAGTCTGGGAGATAAAGGAAATATGGTCTGTGGGGTTGGTGTAGGCACAGATAAATTGCATTTCCATCTGGAGCTGGTTGTGGCCTCGTTCTGCTGCTCTTCCATGCCTGGGGTTTGTGTGGGTTTTTTTGTCCTCAGCTGTGCCTGGTGCTCTCAGGAGTCACTGCAGCTCAGTGGCTCTGCAGCTTTGCTTCTGAGGGCTGAATTCTACTCCTGTGCCTCGATTTCTCTCCCTAATAGAGATGTGCTCCCACCTTACCTAGTCTGGATATCTCTTTGCAGCAGCACATTGTAATTTTTACAAGAAACTTAGCTTTGGACTTCTCTAATGATAAAGTAAAATCTCTCCTGAGTCTCATTCCCCCAACTTTCAGAGTTGGAAATTCACACAAGCTTATGTTGAAAAGGAATTGATTATTCAAAGCTCTTGTGCTTCATAATCTCCTTAAAACATGCAGATTGACTGTCTCATCAGGAAATCTCTATATTTTACTTTGTTATATGCCCATTGGGTCATGTGCTTAAGACCAGGAGACCTCTGGCTAGTTCCTCCCAGGCTGTGTGCCCCTCCAATTACAGGTTATTAATTTGCCTTACATTCCAGAGACAGTTCCACATGAGTGAAAAGGAATTCTGTACTGCAGAGTTCTTCATTACCTACTCTGTCTGTACTACAAAATAAGAATAATACTGATTTTTTTTCTCTCTCTTTTTTTTTTTTTTTCCCTTCCCTCTGGTCTGTGGAAGATGTTTTACAGTTTTAATGCAGCTGTTTTAAGTGTGACTGTTCCTGTTCAAGGGCAGCTGATGTACTTTGTAATGCCACCAAGCAGCCAACAAGCTCTGTTCCCCCATTGTGTTGAAGTGATAGGTATGTTTGCTAATCAAGAGGAGAGCAGAGCTTGCTGTCTGACTTGTTTATGTTTTATTTCTCACCATCAAGCTTTAGAGGGAGGCACAGAAAATATGTAAGCATCTATATTATTCAGTGATGTATATGTGTACATGGTGCTGCTGATGTCTTGCAGTCACTCCTGGCTGAAGGGAGAGATGTGTCAGGTGTCCCCAGCATCCCTCAGAGCACCCCAAACCTGGCATGTCGTTAGATAAACTATTAATTCATGGTCTCTGCATCTCAGGTTTTCCCCCTCCTCGTGTGATTGCTTGAGTTTTGTTCCAAAATAGTGACACAGTGGAGGATTTTGGTCATCAGGGGTCACAGAAGACCTGTGGGAAGTGCTCAGACCCAGGGGATGCCCCAGGTTCCCATCACAATTGCTGTTTCATTTCCTCCTGTGCTGCAGTGTTTCTCCTTCCCATGTGAAGGATGGAAGCAATCTGGAGCTGGGGAATCTCCCAGGATCAGCAGCACAGGAGATCCATCTTTCTGTGCCATTCCTGGGCCTTCCAGCCTCTGCCCTGATCCCTGTTGGGCTGACAGGGATGTCAACTCTGCCAGAATCCTACTGCAGTTTTACTCATGGGTTATGTGTTTTATTCCAATTCGTGCAAAAAAATGTTTTCAGCATTCTGAAATTAAAAAATAAAATCGTGTCAGTTAGCATCTCTGTAAATCCATGTCAATGATTCCAGTAGGAATTGTCATAAAATAACACACATGAAGAAAGTTTAGTGCTGCAGCCAGAAATTCTGGACTAGGGGAAAATTCCACTGCTCTTTGTATGGAATGCATTTTTGGGAAAGAGAAATTTGGGATTTGTTTGTTTTTCTTTATTCCTGCTAGGATGTGTTGGGTTTGTATGTATTCTTGTAAGCTGGAGGGTGGGGAGACAACTGCCCTGGAAAAAGCACTGAAATTCTCCTGCTCTCCCTGCCATGCCTGCCTGCAGCTCAGTCTTGGATAGGGAAGAAGCTTCCATCTGATAAAATTCCTTCCTGCTGCCGTGCTGTTGTTGCAGTTAATTTTATGAATCCCATTTTTAACAGAATACCCAGTTTTTGCATTGTCATTTTGCTCTTTGTCAAGTGTGTGGGTTTATTCCATTCCTTTTTTTTTTCTCCTTTCAGCAGATGGAGAATATTACTCTCTTTAACTTGTTCTTTTATAATGTGAAGTGGATATCCTCAATTAATACACTAATCTGTTTCCTAATTAATTCCCTGCGGTTTTCCTCTCTTTTTGCTGGTACATTGAATCCTGAGTGCAGTTCTGTAAACTCAGTAATTTGATTATTTAAAGGAGAAGCCATGAATTTCACGATAGAGGCACAATGTTAAATTCCTGGAGCAAACAGATTCTATTATTGCAGTTTAAAACCTGCTTGTTCCTGGGGTGGAACTGTGCACTGCTAATAATTCACTCTGTTAAAATCCAGGCAGATTGCTGTCAGCTTGTCCTGAAGAGAAGTGCAGTGCTAGAAATCTGACACATACACTCTCCTACAAGCACTTGTTGTTGTATTTTTGTATGCAGATGTGATGGCAGGGTGAGCATCAAAACATCAACCTGCCATGAAGGGGATTTATGTAGCAATTTCTCTCTTGTTTTCAGTGGAGGCACTGGTGTATCAGACAGATAAAGGGAAGGGGCTCTCCTTGCTGCTTGGGAATTGGTTTGGCTGCTGCTTTGGGAAGCAGCTCCTGGTGATTTTGCTGTCCTTTCATTGGGATTATTTGACACTGAGCCCAAGACATTACAACAGTCATTGGAAAATCTATAGTTATTCTATAGATTTTATAGTTTATAGATTCTATAGATTTTCTATTTTTATATATCCCACTGGCTGTTGAACTTAATAATTTAATTCTGAGCACACCCCTTCTGCCCAAAAAAAGGAAAAAAAAACCCCAAAGTTTAAGTATCTTAATTGAAGTATTTTTCTTTATAAAGACTCTAGTGAAAATGTGCAGGATACTTCCTTACCACAGTGTCCCACTAAACAGAATTTTAAAAGCTCCATAGTAGTTGAAATCCCAGTCAGTATCTTGCTGATGTTCTCTCTTGCCCTGAAGAAAAATAATAATAGAGGAAAAAGAGCTTTTAGCTCTAAAATTAGTGGTTCACCAATGTAGTAGTAAAGGTTGTTGAAATTAAGTTTGAAAATTCTTTTCAGTTGTAAGATCTTCAAGCCTTTGGGTAAATTGGAGCAGTAGCACATGTGGACTGTTGTGGCAGAACCATTATCACCTGCTGGGTTCAATCCAGAAAGCTCAGAAATTCCTTTCTTGTCTCAGGATTTCTTTTCCACACCTCGGGTCATTGTTTCTGCATTTTGATAAGATTGTGTCACACACGTCACTGTGACACCAATCCAGAGTGGGTGAGAGGGAAAAGGACATTACAAAATTATGTGGGCACCAGGTTTTACCAAATCCTTTGTGAGTTTGGGCGTTCCATGACTATAAATATGCAGAACCCAACAATGCCCAATGCCAGTCAGCCCAAAATGGGATTAACTGTTTGGTTTGGTTCCAGAAGGGCTTGTGAGCATCTCCCTTCCCTGCAGACTCAGCACACAGAATAAATGTCACCTTTTTCCTCCCTTGCAGTGCCAGACAACCTTGTCCTGAAGCTGCTGACAGAACGCCTGAGCGCCCTCGACTGCCTGAGCAATGGCTGGGTGCTCTCTGGCTTCCCCAGGGACGTGAAGCAGGGGGAGCAGCTGCACAAAGCACAGATTAATCCCAACAGGTGAGGGAGAAATCACACCATTGTGGATGTGAAAGGTTTGTTGGTGGAAAGATACAGGTCTTTACTGACGTGGTTTGTGCTACTGCATCTTAGTTTTTGTTTCCTTAGCGAGGGAAGGGGTGCTGCTCCTGGAGGGGAGGAAATAGAGCCCTGGCCTGACAAATGCTCCAGATGGCCAAACTGTGGGAGAGAGAAGAGGTTTGTTGTTCTGGTTATTTGTTTGAGTTCCCTCTAAAGCCAAACCATAAGAAATGGATTAAAGTTTGGATTATATGAGAAGATGTATTTTATTTGCAGCAGGAGGGGGGATCTACAACTTCTTTCTTCAGCATTGACATAATACCATGGAAATATATTGGTATTGCAAGGAGCTCATTATGAGACTTTTGGGTTTTGTGAAATAATTAAAAACAACGTGAGAATTACATTTTATTTGAGCTATAATGAATTGTTCAGAAATGTAATATGAGAGACATCAGCATCCAAAGAGAACTGTTACGAGTGCCAAGCAAATAAAATAGAGTTACTTGTCACAGCTGGTCCAAAGGTGGTGAGGATTTAAAGTGCTGGTGCACTCATCAAAGCTGAGAGGCTTTTCCATCCCCTTCCCAGGCCTTCCTGGCTCTGCCCATCCCACTGGCTGGCCCAGTGGCCGTTCCAAAGGCAAAAATTGGAAATTTGTAATCTTTCTGCTTCCAAGGAAGACGTTCTTATCTGAAAAGTAGTGGTAGGAGAGGTGCATTACCCACATCAGTGTTTAATTTTGGCAGAGTTACTCTTCCTGGGTGATTGCCCTGGATTCCCTCCTGAACAGGGGTAGGAGAAGGATGGAAAAGATTGAGGTTGAGTAATGGGAGAACAGAGGGGAGTACAGAGGGAGGGAGCTCTGCATCCATCAAGGTGTGAAAAGGGAAGTGTGTGAAAACAGCAGTAACTTTATTTATCCAAAGTGAGACTTTGTGCATCTTAAACAAGAATCCATTGCATGAAAAAAAAATGGAGAAAGAGCCTCAAAAGTTGTGCTGGACTCAGTGAAACATAATTTCCCACAGATTATTCTTCTTGTGCATTTAGAAGGAAGGGGCAGAATCCCTGAGCACTGAGAGTCCCTGAGATCAGTGGGAATACTGGAGTGTGCCCCATGTGCTCCTTCCCAGCATTGAGACCTCATCAAGGGAGGAGAAGCAACTCATTATAGAATTGGATGGCTGGAAATTCAGTACTGATCCATTTGCTCAGCCTCCCTTCACTTTAAAGAGCTCTGCACATTCACATCTGAGTTTGGAATTTGGTCCCTGTTTTATACAGGGCTTGAAGTGAGGGACAGAAATAGGCATCGAGCTCCCTGATTGATCTCAGAGCTGATGTTTTCCATGAAGCTGAAGTGGCAGGGATGTGAGGGAGAGGGGGTGATTATAAACAAAAGGACACATTGCAGCACAGGATAGCAGGGCAGTAATTCAGTTTCAGTTGTGATGCTAGTTATAAAACACTATCTGCAGAGGTGGTGTTTCTGACATCAGGAGGAAAACCTGATAGAATTATAGCCTTGAAATCAATCTGGGAATAGGATGTAGAAATCTATAAATCAGACACAGAACAATCTACAAAGTCTCATTTTTAGGAGGGCTCTGTTGATGAAATTAGATTAAAATAAATTTACATATATATCAAGTTTATTATTAAAATCTAGTCACATCAGTAAACAAAATTATTTGTGAAAGAGAATGTTACTCTGCTTTTTGAACTCAGAGTAGACCTCTTTGGCTGATCAGAACACAGAGTTATTGTCTGCTTGTCAAGTCACAAATCTATTCCTTAGAGCTAATAAATGGTTAGTGTTCAAATACTATGTTTTATCTGACTCCCACCTCATAAAGCCAGCACACATAATACTAAATTATACAGCATTGAGCAGGATCAGTCTCCTGACTCCTCCATCTTACAGAAAGCAAAACAAACCTAGTAATTGATGGTAGAAAAGAAGGAAAATAAAGTTATTTGAAAACAAACAAAATGGGCTATAAAGTTTGTTAAAATGTAATAATAAAAAAACCTAACCCTGATACAGCGTCAGCTACCACATCCAAAGAATTGCTGTGGAACAAAAAGGAAAATAATTCAGTTTTCACTGAAGAAGTAGGGGGTTTCTTTAAATTAGAATCTGCAGCAGAATGAGGGTTTGCTCGTGGACTGGCACAGGAAAAGCTGCAAACTCTGTCTCCCAAAGAGCCCAGAGAGGAGGGAGCTGCTCTGAGCTCCCCCTGTGAAGCAGCTCCTGCCTAAGTGGACAGGATCCTGCTGGCATTGAACTGGGGCAGCCTTCAGGGCAAATAAGGAGCTGGATCTGTTAATGGGCTCTCAACTGGGACTAAAAGATTAACCATTTAGTGCCATTAACACTCAGTGCCCACCTGAGCAAGAATCCACAGCCACAGGCTGGCTGAGCCACTCACACAAAGGACTGCCTTCAGTTCCTCACCCAAATGAGTTTTAGCTGTTTTAATTAGTGCTTAAGCAACAAAAATTAATGTATTAAATAGTCACGGGTGGTTCTACTGAAAACTCAGTGTAATAGCCACCAAGGTATTTTTTTATCCTTTTTGCTCTCTCTCAAACTTGGAGTTAAAATGAGATTCAGCAGCAGCAGGGCAATGCTCTGAGTCTCTGGTTGTCACCTTCAGCTGGTTCCTGATCCTTCCTCTGCTGGGCCAGCTTGAGGCAGTCAGAAATTTAAGGATTCCCTGAGCCAGAGGATTCTCTGGAAATCTTCTAATCACCCCTTTTCCTTGAGTTTATAATCTCTTTTTGAACCTTTGGGTCGCCAAATCACGTGGAAATGAGTTTCTCATTTCACTGGGTGTCATGTCAAAATGCTTCATAATTTTTTTTCAAGGTGCATTTCTTCTCTTGAGAACAGTTACAGACATTCCCTGGTCATGATTTTCTAAGCCTTTTGTATTTGCCCTTCAGTCACCTTTTTCCCAGACAAAGAACCTTGATCTGTTTATCCTTTTTTTTCCTAGAAATCGTTTCACTCTTGATCATCCTGTTCTCCCCTCTCATTGGGCATTCCAGCTTTTTTTTTTTTTTTTTTTTTTTTTTTTTTTTTTTTTTTTTTTTGGGGG